GAATTGTGGGATACATGTCCTATTGAATTGTGGGATACATGTCCTATCGGTAATCATTAAAATTTACAAGATTTTCGATCTGTTCATGATTTCTGGATGTTTGGGCTTCCCTTCTGATTTTTTGTTCAGATTGCATTCGCTAAATTTTTTAAAGTGTGTTGCTATAGTTGTAAAAGATTAGCTTGTGTTCTGAAATTCTTAGGTCTACTGTAATTCAGAAAAGGGTGAAAACCATGTGAGCTCTTGGATATTTCCCACAGTTTTTGTGTATTCATAATAAAAACACCAATTTTATGTTTGAGTCCTATCAAGCTTTCCCAGAATTCCCTTCACCTCTTTTTTTCAACATGTGTCCTCGCACTGAGGCTGGGTGCCCTCTATAGTGGATTTTAATAAATCTTCTGTTTTTATTATTTCTGAGTATTAAAATTGTTTAATATTTCAGAATAAAATTGTTTTAGATGCAGGTTCATTGTCAGTCAGGGCTGAAGTAAATTCTGACAGTCTTGGCTTACCTGTTACAATGTCATAGCCTTAATATCAGCGTATCACAGTTTTTAATATAATCGCAAAACAAAACGACGAAGGCATAGAATGTTATCTGTGAAATGTGAAACTATTTATGGTGTGTTCATCTACAAAAGAGTATCAAGAATCACTCTTTCATTTTCAGACAAAATCACCAGTCAAACATTCTAGTAATCTTAGCATTGTTTTTTTTAACTATGTAAAACCTTGTAAATTATATTATATTGATTTTCTGTTACTTAAAGTAGGAATGTCTAACTTCTAGACAAAGAGTACGTCATAGTTGACTGGAAAGTTGGTCTTTGAAATAGATGATGGTTTGTTTTTGTTGTTCGTTGTTTCACATGCTACCAAAACTATTCATTATCCACACCTGGAAGCTGTCAAACATGTATAGTTTTATTCAGTCCTGCCTCGCATATTGACATTTGAAAATACTTCACTTTGCTTTAAGAATTCCACCTGTGCTGTATATAAACAGATTTGTCAGACCCTGACTGGTTTATAAAGTAGGTAATTTATTAGCTGTCAGTAACCATGGTTTATAAAGTAGGTAATTTATTAGCTGTCAGTAACTATGGTTGTTCAGAACCACTTACTACAAGCAAAAATGTGAAGAACACTTGTAATGACAGACCATCTACTTGAAAATCTTTAATAAAGATAATATGAACCTAATTTATACACATTAACATTTTCATTACCAGACTTTCTCCCCCAAATTGTTCTGCACCTTCTTCTTATATTCTGCAATGTTTCTGGGAATGAACCCCTATTTTTGAGTTAATTTTCAAATTTTACTCAAAACATTTGGCTAATCTTCTGAAGGAAAGTGCAGACTATAAACAGGATTATTTGTGAATTTGTGATGAAAACAGGGAACTGGTGGTGAAAAGGTTAATCTTTTCCAGACCCCTCTCACTCAATGAGTCTGGTTTAACCTTTTGAAAGTAAAATTTTGGTTTTTTTTCATTTTTTTTTTCAAATGTTTTTATTAAAACCTGTAGCTAATGTGATATGATTCAGTCCTAAATTAACAAAGAACTTTCAGAAAAATATACAAAATGTGAAAAATATTGACAAAATTTTGGCAGAAAAAATTGATATTATTCAAAGTGTTGATTTCTTGGCATAGATACAAGTGATATGGTAGGCAGTGTGTGGTGTAAAACTACAGGGACTTATCCTGTAAAAAATATAATAATTAGATTAATTGATTGCTTAAGAAAAAAAAATGTTTCTCTGTGATTTTCATGAGGTCATGATTCACATCTAGTAAACATTTATTTATGTTATAATTTCAAACAACTCAAAAATTGTTAATTTATATTTATGAAAAAAATCATGCTTTTGTAGTGAAATTGCAAATCCATTCTCTAGATTACATAGAGTGCCTTAAAAATGTTGAATCAAATCAGGATTACAGATGCAGACATATTCAACTGTGCAACATACTGGAGAATACTTTATTTTAGCTTGGAATTATTTTCGCTGAAAAGACTTTTTTGGATGTTTTGTATGGAATTTATTTTCACTGATTTTTGACAAGTTGAATGTAAAATACAGGAAAAAAGGTATATTCGCTGCATTTTATTTTCACTGAATCATTCCTTCAGCGAAAATAGCCAAAATTAATTCAAAGTGAAAATATAGTATTTTACAGTATTCTTGTTTCATGCAATGCATCATGGGAAATCATTGACAGGTATTCACATCAAACCAAAACAGCAAATCATCTGAAAAGTATATTCATGCCATATTTCACTGGTTAATCACAATTACACAAAGCGGCAGACATAACTTCTATTATTTTGAACTTTGGAAGTCACATGATCACCAGTGTACTGTATTTGAGATTCCGGACGGAGATAAACTGAGCATGAAAAGTGAGCAGATCAATCAATGCATGTGGTGTTAAAAAATAAATCTGCATTAGGAGTCAACCATTTAATGTCATTAGGGGGTGGCTGGAAATTTTTTTTAATAAAGTTGCAAGCTAGTCAATGGGGGAAAAATTGCATGAAATTTGCAGGGAAACGCTGTTGGCACATTCCAAAAAAAATAAAAATGCACATCAGACACTGCTAATAATTGCTTTGATCACACTTTCCCAGCCACACACCCCATGATTTCCAATGGTTGACCCCGTACGGAAGATCTGGAGATTATGAAATGTAATGGGGTGGATCTTTCGTAATTGAGGTGGGTGGTTGGATGTGTTAATAATGAGCAGTTAGTCATAGATGATGTAACATGCAGAAAGACATCATGTAGTGCACAAAATACCAGGGTTCATTTAAAGACAAGATATTTACATTAATAGATCAAATCTTTTGTGAATTATTTCCATGGTTTAAACTCACCACTGTTTTTGTTATTGTATATTTATTGTCCCTGTCTTTTGTTGTCTATAATAGGCACATAAAAGACTACATATATCAGCGTTCATTGAGAGTAATGTACCGGTGAATAGTAGAGAACACTAAACTCTGTATGAGAGACTCTGTACAATACAGAAGGTGTGCAAATGTCGAGGTTCGACACCTGAAGCTGCGCACAACATCCTCTCGGCATAAACACATGAACACAGTGCATAAATATTCATAAATACTATATTATAAAAATTGGCAATAATATAATAAATCACTAACTGTATTAATCATACAGGGTCTGTATTGTTTGTTTGTTTGTTTGTTTGTTTGGTGTGTTTCTTCTGAATCTTTGTTATGGCATTTTGTAAGTTGCTGCCTGAGCTGGTAGATTTTAAATATTCCAAACTGTGAGTATTCATAGGTATCGCTTATAACGCAACTCTGTTTGTTTTTTTATTTCCAGGGTAGCAATCTGAAAACCCGTGACCTACGAACCCCCACGGTGGGTATGATATTGAGACTGATCACTTCAGAGGTAGGTGTGCAAATGCAACACTCAAAGCTTTCTTGTTCGGCTTGGTATTTGAAAAACTTTATAATTTTTTGCTCAAAAATGAAAGTCCCAATTTATAAGAAATTACAAAACTGATTTTTTTTCAAATTATAAAATTGTGAGGTCTCATTATGGTAATGTTAGGAAATTGAATTTTCGTAAACTCTATATTTTTGTCCAAAATTGAGATGAAGGTAACACCAAAATCAACTTATATCATTTGATGAATATCTAATAGCCAAAAAACAACTATTAAAGATTTATCAAAATTTATAAAAAAATGAAAAAAAAAATTGCAAAAATGTTGCTTCAAAATTATGGTGTGGAAAATATTGAAATCACTGCTAATAAAACCACCATTAATTCTACACTGATTCTTCCAGAAGCTGTTTGCTAATTTATCTTGTAAATTTATCTGCAGAGAGTTGTTACATGGGAATTAATGTATAAAAACCATGTGACATGTGTACAATATGACTTCCATTAGCATTCACTTAAAACCAATTTAGCTTTTATTGAAAATTGATTTGGTTTCTTCTTTAGAAGGCTCTGGCTGCATAAATAATTAGTGCCTGCGTTTAAGTGACTGTTTAGAACTAAATATCCTGTTGCCTTGGCGATGGATGTTCCTAATTGGTATCATGCATATTTGGCTTGAATTTGTCCGATTTTTCGGTTTTCATAATTCAGAGTGAAAAACAACATGCAACTGGAATAGCAACAGAAATACTCGTGATGTGTATTCAGTAACTGTGTATTGATACACTGTATAAATAGGTTATGCATATGTTTTCTCAATACTCCCACTGACATGTGTAACACAGAGGCATTTTGAGAGTGGCATGTTTCATGAATTATAGTCAATAAGCATGCTGTAACCATCGTGATTGGGATAGTTAGTCAGCTCGTTGCCACCTGATTACACTGACATTTATGTGTTGTATTACAGAGACCAGATTCATTGGGCGCAGTGTCTAATCCGGATTTACTGCCTACGTTGGATAATATTCCTTTGGACTTGAGTCCTGTTCCTACACCACGTGAGTTAACTCCACCACCGTCCACACCACCACCTCAACCACTTGCACCAGCGGAACCTGTCTGGATGTTAGCTCGGAAGCATAAGCCTAAATTGGTAAGCTTATTGTTTATAGTAATTTAATTATTAATTTCTTTTAGTAGTACTGTCAAATCATTTATTTTCATTTAATTTTACTATTATAATGTTTTGAGCATATTCACTCTGTTTTAATTTTACGAATTTGTCAAAGAAACAATGAGTTTATTGTTATTTTCCTTGTTCGTGTAGATTTAATTTAGCGGGTTTTACTTATCAGGGAAAATAGCAAAATTAAACCCCAGTGAAAAATTAATGCATATACAGTATGTTAAGTTTTAGCTCTCCTGATTTGAGCCCTGAAAAGTACCAGTAGGTGACCAACATCTTGAGTAGATGATGCAGATTTGAAGTGGAGATAAACCCACTGAAAAAATTGACGCACCTGAGTAAGCCGAGAGGAATGGGTGACCAACTTCTTAGGAGGGTGCTGCAGATTTAAAGTGGAGATAAACCCAATAACAAAATTCCCATCTGTGTTTCAGCCCATAGTTAAGGAATGGGTGACCAAAATCTTGGGATTAGATGATGGAAGTCGGATGTCAGACAAAGACACCACTCAATCTGTATCGTTCTAATTAGTTGGTTGTTGCCCTGGTAGTATAGTTTGCCTTTTGTGACATTAATTTGAAATTTAAAAAAGATTTAGTTTTGGTATAACAAGATTTTGGTTTTCGTTATATCGCAAGTTAGTTTACAGTGAAAAGATTAGGACAACGGATTACCAAATTTTTTAAAATATTGTCAGTTACGGACAGTTACCTGTCCATAGTACCGACATATTTAACATTGAAATAAGGTAAATAAAAGTAAATACGTAAATACTGCAGACAAAAGTTTGCAGGTAGTCAACAATATTTTGAAACAAAGTAGGTAATCAGTTGTTCTTATCTTACAACATCTAGAGCAATCTCAATGACAAATTCTTGGTGGTTGTTACTGGAAAACCAAATCATTTTTCAATTTTCCCTGGGACTAGAAGTAAAATCTTATTTCTTTATTTGCCCTAAACCTGTTATTTATTATATAAATAGTACTAGTAGTGGGCAGCTAAAATCATGGAGGTAAAAGACTTACCTCCATGTCTTTTACCTCCATGGTCTGTATTACCAGTAGCTTAAATTATGGAGGTAAAAGTTAAATATAATAAAACTGAAATATAAAGTATTCTAAAGTAATAGAAAATATCTGTTATTGTAACAGGTGATCCAATATTGAATATTAAGTGCTTTACTGGTTGTATTGATTGTATATGCGCTTTCTGTTTTATATGTCGCTTATGACATACAAGAACGTAAATTTCATTACTGCTTGAATCCTACATTGTGGGTATTACTGGGTGTTGTGTCAGCAATTTGGATGATACAAGCAGCACAAACCAGTATGGTATCTGAATTTACTACTTATGAAAAGGAATGTTAAATTTCATTCATTTGAAGATGTGCTTTACTGTTTAAAGTAATATTGAAATTTTAAAACAAAGTCATATTTCAATAAAATGAAAGGTTTTGGTTTAAATAAAAAAAAAATTTTAATTTAAAAACTTAAATTTGATTTTAATGTAATTTTCAGTGTTCTCGAATCCAAGTTTAAATCAGTGTTTTTATTGATGTGTTCAAATTAATATTTTCTAAGGATAACCTTTGATGAAAGGCTTTTAAGGTGGTAACAAATGAACTTTAATTATATATTCTTTAAAGTATACATGCATCTGACGTTTCAACATTGACCAATAGAAATCTTGTGGTTCAATTTGTGTGTTGAGAGTCTGTTGTGTCCTAGTGCTAGATAAGCGTCATACAGTGCTTGTCCTTAGATCGAGATCTAGCTGATCTTATTTCAGTTTGTTTAATGTGTTTGGCAACAAGCACAACAATAGACCGTCTTTATAAGTTCAGGGACAGATTAAAGAAATGATCACAGTTGTATACTTCTATTTAGCAGAGCTATTGTTAAAATGTTTATTTTATTGACCTAGGGAGTCTCTTTACCACAAGTGATTGTTATGCAAATGAGTTTCCAACTAATTGTGATATAGTTGATGGGATAAGGGGCATTTCACCAGTGGCCAGTTTTATTTACATGTCTCAGTTGCTATGGGAAGAGTAGCGCTGTGTACACCTGATATTATCATGCAAAGCGACTATTAATTGAAACTGGCTTGACACCCTACAGAAAAACACTCGTCAGCCATGTTGAATATATAACAAACGGAAATCAAACCAACGCAATCTTGACTGACCGGCGTGATTACAATACTCAGAAGTGAAGATGTCTGTTGCGTATTACAGACCGTATACGTCTTCTGTGAGTATATTGATTTAAAGTTTTGAATCGGTTCATATAAGTCGTTTTAAAGTTGCATGGTTGGACAGATTTCAATAATAGTACTTGAGCGGTTATTTTGTTTGTTCGTTGTATAAGTGATTGGCAAGTCAATACATTGATTCATACCTGATGTCATGTAGGTGCTACTTTTGAAAACTACTGGTTTAAATGGCGTTACTAAAATGGATCTTTCTTTAATGATCTTTTTGTCCGTGAAGTTGATCAATTCCAAAATATTCGCTAAATGTTGACCAAATGATAGAATTGCAAGAAGTATCTAGTAGAAAATCTGATAGACAAAATTGTATGATAAAGACATTATTGGTGTTGTCCATAGTAGTCTTTTATTTCAGAATAAAACAGGATAACATTGACCTTTTGAACTTGACAGTCAACATTTGTCACCTTTTACAAAATATGATTTTGTCAACATTTGAAAAATAAAACACTTTGAAAAAACCTAGACAATGGGAAATTATACCTCTTTGATCTAAAACCACAGAAACTTAAGAAAAATACATTAAATTGTTGCCATAAAAATGGCATAAAAAATTATGGGGTTCCAAATTGTTAATTGTTGTTATATCTATTTTTTTGCTGCAAACTCCAAAAATGACAACTATACTGGTATATACAGTTATTTTTTATTTATCCACCACTTAATGCATACATCGGTACTAACATATTCCTGCCTTTCTTGCTTGTTTAAAAATAACTTGTAAAGAAAATGTCAAATATTTTTGAACCGATTAGTTTTCATGTAATCCCCCTCGACTGTTACCTTTCATAAAAACAAATTCATTGTCAAATTTTAATTAATATTTTCAAAAACGTTATGATTAAAAATGTTGGAACCTAAAATTGTTTTACCTAAACAGTGTTTCTCTGAAATACCTGACTATCTGACCAATATCCCACCGAACTGACCCTGCGTAAATATCTATGCGAGAATATGCAAGTTTCTATGCCATATATTCTGTTATTTACATAAATATTAAAGTAAAAATTTGTTATATTTTAAAATATATTGTACAAATAATGAATTCCAACCTGAATTTCATTTTATTATTAATATCAGTTGTGGTAGTTGCTTTTTGTTGTTTGTTTTGATTGTTTGATTCCAAATTTCCAATATATACTTTAAATTAATTAACATTTTCTGAGTGTCTATATCTGAACAAAATGGCTGCCTCTGTATTACAATTAAATCCTCTACGGCTGTTACATTATCCACTTGAATCTTGTTTACATCTGTTCAACTTTATTAGTTGTAAACCTACGTGCTGGTGTGGTTTGAAGATTAACTTGAACTATTTAATGTAATAATCCCTTGCCTGCCATTAAAATGTCATTAATCTTTCCAAAATTGTTTTTCATAATTTCCTCCTGTGCAAATTTTTCTTTTCCAATATTGCCACCCAATATTTCAAAATTTTAATGGTCAACCCCTAACTTGCAGTTATAATATCACTGATGTATCAAAATATTACTGTTGCCACTTGGTGTATTACACAGACAGGCATTTTTTTGACGGGAAACATTTTATTGTAGTGGGCATGTATTTCGTTTTCTTAGTCACATCAATTTCGCCATTTTCTAAGCAGTTCTAAAATCACCGTGACAGCTCAATTGTCTCATTTCCTGTAAAACTTTGTATAGAATACTGATGAGTCAGCTATAAATTTGATTGATGTTAAATTGTAGATGTTATTAAAAAAACACACAGTAAATATTTCAGAACTGTTGAATATAAACCAGAGATTTGATTCTCTGTCATTTTAATAATTTATAACTTTATAGCAGTTTAATTATTTATTATTTCAGCCATAAATAATGAAGAGTAGTGATTATTTTTTGCTCTCTTTTTTATTAGATTGCTGTCAGTAGATTGTTTATTTTAATACTATAAACTCATTTATGATTTATCAGGTTTTAAATTTCAAAAATTTAACTTGTGTAATTTTTTTTCATATTTTTTCCAAAAATGTTGATCAACATCAGTTGGCAATGGGAAATTATCAAAGAAATTTTCAAAAAATACATAAAAATGTGAAAAAATATTTTTCCAAAAATTTTGATCAAGATCAGTTGGCAATGGGATTATTTCCATCTGATTCAAAATTATTAAAGAAATTTTCAAAAAATACATAAAAATGTGCAAAAATATTTTTCCAAAAATTTTGAACAAGATCAGTTGGCAATGGGAAATTATGTCAATCTGATTCAAAATTATCAAAGAAATTTTAAAAAAATACATAAAAATGTTAATAAATATGGTCAAAATTTTGATCAAGATCAGTTGGCAATGCAAAATTATGTCCATATGATTCAGAAATGCATGTGAAAAATATTTTTCCAAAAATTTTGATCAAGATCAGTTGGCAATGTCCATCTGATTCAAAATTATCAAAGAAATTTTCAAAACATACATAAAAATGTTAATAAATATGGTCAAAATTTTGATCAAGATCAGTTGGCAATGCAAAATTATGTCCATATGATTCATAATTATCAATGACATTTTCAAAAAATAAATCTGGTCTATTAATCTCAACATTTATGAATGTTCTCTCAAGAAATGGTTTGATGCAGCTCCATGTTTGTTCGGTAATCATGGTTTTCAGTGCGTGTTTGAGTCACTTGAAATCAAACTGGATTAAAACGTTTTAGCTTCCATTTAGTTATTATGCCACTTATAGCTTTTAATATTGTCTGGAAAAGAACCCTCAGGAAATGTACACTATTTCCTGCATTTGGTCACATGATCAATGTACCGGTAATGTGCATTCAAAGATGACCAAGCAGATTAAATTCTGTGTTTCACGCAAAACTACACAGGAGTTTTTTATTCATTTTCATGTAAAACAAAAATCTTGGCATTTATTAAAAATCTTTCCACATATCAGAAACTGCTTTTATTGTTTCCCCTTTTTCATTAATCCATTAAGTGCCAAATCTTTCACATTTTCTGTAATTTTCACTGAATTCAATCTTGATGTTGTGCCAAACAGGCAAAATGTGACATGTGCTTCCAGTTTTTAATCAAAAAATTTGAAATTTTTTTAGTAAAAGAGCAGACTACAAATGGAATTATTTTGCAGATAGTTCCTGAAGTTGACTTTGGCTGTCAGAAGGTTAAATATTTATACTATTATTGGCAACAGAAAATATTGAATGTACAATATACATGAATTGATATGTTATCTATTTTTCTATAATTTATTTTTATTTTTTGGAAATGGTTCTCAATAAAATAACAATATTCCATTGGTTATAGTTATTTTGTAAAAAATTATGAGTTTTATTTTGTGAAAAGTGACTAAACATTACTTTGGTTTTCAAAGGTTTAACTTTCTACACAGTCGTAAAACATAAATAGAATTCCCATGGCCGTGTGTTTTATTGCAATGGTACACTTAGTATTGGGTTAATTGCAAATACACAATGGTAGTGTTCACGCTACACGAAGTATGGTCTAAGATTTAAGCTATTCTCATATGTTTTCATATCGGATAGACCCAATTGCGCTCACGCACAGGGGGAAACAATGGTTAGCACGGGCTAAGGAATGCCCAAACTTGTTAGGAATATTCAAATTCAGTCATTTTAACTAGAATTACTCAGTACAGTAACTGGGGAAGGTATATGCCCCGCTATGTTAGTTCTACGGTTCTAAAACAATACCAAAGCAAATTCAGAACAAAATCCAAAATGTGTTTATGTTGATTGTCATGTTGGAAGTGGCATGTAGAAACAAGCCATACATGGCACAGTCCCCGTTAGTTATCAAATTTAATCAGGAATCCATAATCTTGTACCATATGTATGTACCAAGTTTGAACAAAATCCATCCATAAATGCCAAAATCAAGTTCCGGTATGCCAGAATCAGATCGTGAAACAAATTGCATATGTGTAATATTATGTATGATGTATGTATAAAGTTTGATTGTAATTGGTCCAGGCATGTCTAAGATACAAGTCAGGACGCACAGACGCACAAAGGTCAAAACATAAAACCCCGTTTTCGGACTGCTTCAGAATGGGAAACTAATGAGTAATTATGAATAAATCGTCCAAATGAACATTGAATACAGTGGCGTTTTGGGCGCTTAGCCCGATCTAAGCGCTCACAAACACTTTGATAGCCCATTTTAAACTTGGCGTTTCTTAGCCCGTGCTAAGCGTTAACACATGTTTTCTTAGCACGCTGGACTAGGTATTTGATCTCTTACCCTTTTCTAAAAGCTGTTGGTGAATGCTACTAATAGTGTTTTTCTACCCTTTGTACACATCATGAATTTGTATATTGTCTGTTTTGTGTGCACTTTGGATTTGTCTTTTATTTTGCTTTAAAATCCTTAAAGTCTATTTGCTCTTTATCTGAAAAATGACCTGGTATAACAGTGCCATCACTGGAAAGATTAAAAGATTAAAAAGACTTGACTGTTGAATAATTGATTTAATTTGCTCCTGAATTTGTAAAGAGCCTGGTACTACTTGGCAATGTCTAAACAGAACTCTCTATAGTCGCTATATTTATATATCAAAACATTATAGTCGCTTTATCGTTGTGATAGAAAGGGACTATGAAAACATCCATATACTAAACACCTCTGTAAACTGAACACTTCTCAGTCCCTTCAGTGTGTAGTTATTAAAAACATGTTTCACTTTAAGGTAGAGATGCAGGTTCGTTGATAATAATTTGATTTTTTATTTATTATCATGTAGGAGGAAGCCCCGATAGGGCTGTAAACCAAACTCTTCTTTATTAAAATTAAACACCTTTCAACTGAACAATCTTTTCAGTTGTTTCAGTGTTCGGTTTAGACAAATTTCACTATAATTTCTTTACAAGTATTTGTTCAATCAAATTATATAAGTTCTGTCCTGCATCATGGTACTAACAAAATTGTTACCGATAGTAACCATGCTTTTACGTATTTTACATGTCTTACAATAGCTTAGCTTGAATCTGTGATACAAAGGTATAGATCCATCTGTGTTTAAAGGGGCACCTTCCAGTTAAGATTAATTTTACAACAAATTTACTTCCTGGATTAAAATAACAATGGATAACAAAAGATAGATTAACATTGTAAACAACATAAACAATAGTGTCCCATGATTCTTTGGTGCAATCCATGGGATTGAGCGGTTCCCCTTTAATGACATGAATTTATGTGAATAACTGCGGAGTTTATTGAAATAATGATCTTGTTAAAATTCTTACAATATCGGTCAAGGAAACAAAATATGACCACTACGGTAACATTAAAATTGTGTTGGGCGAAGTTCTTAGTCATGGTGAAAATGACAAACTGGTTTGTTGAATTACGCGTCACGAATACACATACTACCAGGCTACAGTGGTATGCGAAACTCAAGTGGTTAACAAACACAACAATGTGTATTTATTCTTTCACATATCCAGTAGGGTTTGTTGTGCACATGTAGTGCTTCTCTTGTACTACATGTGTTTATGTGTTGTGAAGTCAACAAAAAGTCTGTGTGCATTTCACAAGATGCTGAATTATTCAAGTTATCAACTTCCAGTTAGGAAAATATTGAATTACAAAAAATAACCATGCCCATATTTTAGAAACTATGTTCTTTTTTGCAAAACAATGGACGTTAATGTATATATAGATATGCCGATAACTGAAAGTTAGTTCAGTTACTGTAAAATACTGTATTTTCGCTATTTTTGCTGAAGGAATGATTCAGTGAAAATTAAATCAAGCGAACATACCCTTTTTCCTATATTTTACATTCAACTTGTCAAAAATTAGTGAAAATTAACTCCATGTCTTTTCACCAAAAATTAATTCCAGCTAAAATAAAGTATTTTACAGTAACTGTTAACTAAAGTTTGAGTTAGTAACTGGAATTTCAGTAACAGTTAATAGAATATCAAGTTATAATCTAGGTGTAATTGAGCAAAAATAAGGACTAGACATTTTTGTAAGTTTATTCGTTTAACCAATGTTTTTTGTAACTCAAACAAATAAGCATCTTACACTTCACCATTGCTTGCGACAGTGATTCAATGCACTATGTTTATCTATTGGGCCCAGGAAAGATTTATCTCATGGTCATTACATATACCAGTTGAAATACAAAAAAAAAAACAGACAGAATTTGAGTCAACTTTCAGTTTTTACTCAAAAAATTTGGCTGTTTTTGTCCCAATCTTTTGAAGGAAGGTGCAGACTATAAATGGGACTATTTGTGATGAAAAGTGGGAACTGGTGGCGAAAAGATTTTACATTGCTCAGTTTTGCGAAGTTTTAAATTTCTGTAAAATCTCATCCAAGGCCGAAAAAAATGTTAGGGCAGTAAAAATAGGATAAAATGGGTTATAGGAACCACACAATTTTTTTCTCTTGACCTTGTCAATGTGTATTTTACTGGCCTACCTGTTGATATGTGCATGCAGTGCTATTGTCATTTCAATCATAGTGATACTACAGTAGCTATTTCATCCCCAAAACTTCTGCTCTGGTAACCACTGAATATGGAATTATTCACACATCAGAGGTTAAATTTAAAATTAGAGTTGCATGTTCATTGGATTGGTTAGAGAATAAAAGGGCCTGTCCCAAATGAAGATGTACCTGTCCCTAGCAAGATAAATCCAGATTATTTGAAATAAAATTTAAATTCTTGGCTCAACGTCATTTCATGAGTCTTAAAAAACTTTTCTGGACATCAGCAACTTGAGACTACTCCATTTGGTTAGATTGTAAAAACCTGTTTTGTACAATTACCTGTCCCAGCTAAAACCTGCTTGTGAGGGACAGGTGGACAGGTCTTAGTTCACAGGGACAGGCTATTTTTACAATTACCTGCCCCAGCTAAAATTTGCATTTCAGGGACAGTCAAACAGGCCTTAATGCAACAGGGGCAGGCTATCTGTACAATTACCTGTCCCAGCTAAAACCTGCTTGTGAGGGACAGGTGGACAGGTCTTAATTCCACAGGGACAGGCTATTTTTACAATTACCTGCCCCAGCTAAAATTTGCATTTCAGGGACAGTCAAACAGGCCTTAATGCAACAGGGGCAGTCTATCTGTACAATTCCCTGTCCCAGCTAAAACCTGCTTGTGAGGGACAGGTGGACAGGTCTTAATTCCACAGGGACAGGCTATCTGTACAATTACCTGTCCCAGCTAAAACCTGCTTGTCAGGGACAGGTGGACAGGCCTTAATTTGGGCCCCCTGCACATCATCTCCTAATGTTGTTCATTTTTTTTTACCGCAGCCAATAAATGATGGCAAATTACCACCACGTGATGCCATGGAACATGTCTTACCCGAATACCAGTATATATTCACTCAAAGTCCACGGAGATTGAAAGAAACGCCCCCACCGATGAAGACAAGAGGAGATTTGATAACAACTCGACTACCTCCGCCGTATCTCACAAAACCACAACAACCACCTCCTCCTCAACCACCACCAGAAGATGAAACATCGTAGGTTGATTTAATTTCGTATTCGTAAAACATTGTTTCATTTCATAAAGGATAATGTTATAGAACGGCATGCCATTTTGCTGATCTATTATTGTTTTTTACCTTGCCCGTACCATCAAAGATGGAAGGGAAAGGTATATTAAGGGAAAAATTTTGTCCGGCGTTGTCGTCGTCGTCGTCGTTGTTGTTGTTGTTGTCGTCGTTAATAATTGTTATTGTGTGCATAATAACTTTACTAATTCTATTCCAAACTTTATCAAACTTGGTCACCTTATTCATCAGTATAAAGTCTTCCCTGAGTTTGAACAACAGATGTCCTGTATGAAAATATCATGCAAAAATTGAGAAAATCTGATAAAATATTTTGACTGTTTCTACTTGACTGATCACTGGTGATACACATCAAAGGTCACTGATCTCAGTGGAAATATGCATTGTTGTATGTGTTCAATGAAGCAAATGATTTATCTTGTAATAATATCCTTGGTAATGTATCTCAGAATCCCTACTGGGTTTCAAAACCAACTCATGGAGAGATTGCACAGTCTGATACACATTTGCAAACCTACCAATAAAATCTTTACAGAAAACAAGATGTCAGAAAATCAATATAAGCACTGCTATGAACTGGGTGCCAAACTTTGATCAAGATCTGAAGCTAATAGAAAATCTGTTTAGTCAAAGTTATCAAATCAAAAACAATACATAAAAAATACATTAAAAGCAAAACATTTCATCCACATTTTAAAAAGAAAATTGTTCTAAAATATATGTATTATGTATTTGACAAACAGTTCATTCAACAAATGAAAACTCACAGGAATATGTTTCAGCTATTAGAACAGAATGATAGAGTTTTTATAATACTAGTTTAAAAACTCACTTCAAACAAAGATTGCAGTGTTTGAAGATGTAGGTTCTCAGGAGGCAACAGTACTGTTGACTTCTCCTTCCACTGGACACCAACTAACTGTTTAAGTTGATTTGCATACAAAGCAGAGCTTGCAACATGATAGCTATTCATAAAGGGTGTTTTTTTTTACTTTTCATATAATACAGTAGTCACACAATGAGGCAGTTCATATTTGTCTCAGTGAATCATTAATTTTTTACAGACACCTGTACAAAATACTTGGACAAAAGCCAGCTAAGATTTTCTGTTATCTTGCATGTTTTATGAATCTATTCACGTCTAAATGCAGCACTTTTTTTTGCAATGAGGCATTTGTTTTTATACTAAAATATCTGAATTACTTTGAATAAAGCTGGAAATTATAACCCTTAAAATAATTAAACAAATAAGGCACAAATGTTTTTGTAAGATATTTACATCTTTAAAGAACATTCGGTAGACTGATTCCCCACTGTTAGTTCAACTCCAAAACTTTTTTGTATTCAAAATTAATTATGACAATGTATATTTATATTGAAACAAACTATGTTAAAGGGAATTATATTATATAACAAAGGGCAAGGTCACCAGAGTTCAACTATGTTTGCAGTATGCACCTTATTGCTATAAAGCGCGCAAAGTTCTGCAAAGCGATTGCAAAGTTGGTGGATTTGCGTGTTTATTTGACGTAAGTTGTTGTTATATCGAACCCTGCCGTTACAAAGTATGAAACATGAATAAAATCCATTTGAAGCCTTCGATGTTACCAGCCTGTCATATGAGCCAGCCGTAAAATGTTAAAAAAAACAGCCTAAAATGTGAAAAGCCAGTGAAAAGTTGGTAGATATGCGTGTATATTTCTCCTAAGTCATTTCATATAGAACCCCGCAGTTAAATTGAGAAAAACAATGTGTAATAAAAAAAAGCCATTTATTGTCGCAGACTAAACCACTACCCAAGCGTAAGAGGTTAAACAAAGAGCTTACAAAGTTGAGAAAAGCTATTGCAAAGTTTTCAGATTTACATGGAAATGTTACCTATGTTGTTATATTATCGAGACATGTGGTTGAAAGTTCGGAAAAGTGAAAAAAATATATCGTAAAACGCAGTATGAATGTCGTAGTGGCTCCCGAACAACGTGGAGTTTTGAAACATTTCCAAACATTAAATAGTCTCCAATTTCAAAAATTTTCAAATGGTTATTATAGGTTAGTGGTCAGGTGATCAACCTATCACAAAAGTAAATATAAATCGGTCGTGGTTAACACTTGCATGGGAGACAATCTGAAAAAAAACAGCCGTCGAAATTATTTTAGGTTTTGCCTTACACACTGAAAAGACAAATACGCATGTTTTAGCATTATTTGCTACTCTAATGTCAAACATTTCTTATAGAAATTATTAGAAATTTTCAAATTCATAGAAAGTTTTAAAATATGCTAGTATTTTCAATGAAACAACTGTTTTTGCAGTCTGCACCTAATTGCTCTAAAGCTGATAAAACAGCGCGCAAAGTTGTGCAAAGCGATTGCAAAGTTGGTGGATTTGTGTGTTTATTGGACGTAAGTTGTTGTTATATCGAACCCTGCCGTTACAAAGTATGAAACATGAATAAAATCCATTTGAAGCCTTCGATGTTACCAGCCTGTCATATGAGCCAGCCGTAAAATGTAAAAAAAAACAGCCTAAAGTGTGAAAAGCCAGTTGAAAAGTTAGTAGATATGCGTGTATATTTCTTCTAAGTCATTCCATATAGAACCTCGCAGTTAAATTGAGAAAAACAATGTGTAATAAAAAAAAGCCATTTATTGTCGCAGACTAAACCACTACCCAAGCGTAAGAGGTTAAACAAAGCATTACAAAGTTGTGAAAAGCTATTGCAAAGTTTTCAGATTTACATGGAAATGTTACCTATGTTGTTACATTATCGAGACATGTGTTTAAAAGTTCGGAAAAGTGAAGAAATATATCGTGAAATGCCGTTTGAATGTCGTAGTGGCTCCCGAAGTACGTGGAATTTTGAAACATTTCCAAACATTAAATAGTCTCCAATTTCAAAAAATTACAAATGATTATTATAGGTGAGTGGTCAGGTGATCGACCGATCACAAAAATAAATATAAATCGGTCGTGATTAGCACTTGCGTGCGAAACCATCTGAGAAAAACAGCCTTCGAAATTTGTTTAGGTTTTGTCTTATACACTGAAAAGACAAATACACAATTTTTTTAGCATTATTTGCTGCTCTAATGTCAAATATTTCTTATAGAAATTTCTAGAAATTATTAGAAATTTTCAAATTCATAGAAAGTTTTAAAATATGCTAGTATTTTCAATGAAACAACTGTTTTTGCAATCTGCACCTAATTGCTCTAAAGCTGATAAAACAGCGCGCAAAGTTGTGCAAAGCGATTGCAAAGTTGGTGGATTTGTGTGTTTATTGGGTGTAAGT